TAATAATAATAATAATAATAATAATAATAATAATAATAATAATAATATAGGAATTATTATTTCCTATAATAATATAGGAAATACTCTAAATGCTCTGAGGGTCATTTGGAAAAATCCTTTCTTAGTGAGCCCTTAGAAGCCAAGAGGAACGTAGGTGCCAAATGTCAAGTTTGTAGGCTTTATGGTTCTGGAGATTTTGTGATGATGCGTGAGGGATATTTCGCTTTTATATACGTATATAGATTTTATTTTTTTATTTATTCTGAGACCATCGTAACACTAAATGGTCATTAAACGACCAGGTGTAAGTCGCAGGCTATGTAGATATTTATTAGGCTTTTATGATTATTAGATTTATGTATTATATATTTAAGTACATGAGTAATTTTTTTGACATTTTGAATTATTGTTTCTTTTTTTAAAGGCTATATACCATGCATTATTTTGAGTTGGGTTGCCCTGAACTCTCTCATGGATAAATTGCATAAAATGGGTTTAATTTAGGAATCAGATTAAATCTGTTGGATAAGTGGCATTTACCTGCCAAAAGATAGAATTGCTGGTTCAGGTTTGGTGGGAGGAATTGTATTTATTTTTTAAAATCGTGACTCATTTATTTAATGGGACAAAAAGATACCGCAGGGCACCATCTAATAAAGGTCTTTGGTTTTGTATTTTTAATTAATGAAAGTGTTTGGGAAATCAAACTGATAGAGCAAGTTCTAAGACATACTCTAAAAAAAAAATCACAATATTGTAGCTTTTCTATTTTTTTTTTTTTAAATTCACACTTCAAAATCTGGAGACTTTATTTTTAAATTAACATTTTCCACAGGTATGGCCTTCATTACATATATTTTACTGGCTGGAATGGCCCTCGGAATACAGAAAAGGTAAGGAACGTTCTTCCCGCTTCCCAGTTTTGCATCTTACGGAAAAACGGCGGAGGTTAGGGGTGAATTTGGCAATTTGGGTGCGGGATTTAAGGCTGGGCATAATATAGAATTTGGCAGGCAATGGATTACAGGTGGTCCTTGACTTACGACCACAATCGAGCCCCAAATTTCTGTGGTTAAATAAGACATTTGTTAAGTGGGTTTTAACCCCATTTGATGACCTTCCTTGCCAACGTTGTTAAGGGAATTACTCCAGTTCTTAAGTGAGTAATACGGCTGTGAAGTCAGAAAATCGCAGAAGGGGATTTCGTGACCCCGGGACACCGTCGTAACTGTGAAGCAGTTGCTGAGCGGCTGGATTTGGATCACGTGACCATGGGGATGTGGCTCCACCCCCCACCCCCGGGGGTAGGCTGCTGGGGGCTTGCAGGGTCTCAGAGAGCCCCCAATAACCTCAAAAAGACAAGCAGCCATGGAAAGCTCTTAATAGGCTTAATTGAACTTCTGGGCGTTCAGCCAAGAGCATTTCACACCTGGTAAAAGTCTTGCAAGCTAGATAAACAATCCACTCTGCACTTACAAGGGAGAACCATGGAGAAGATGGGATAACATAGCCACTAGCCTCTGACGGGATTAACTCCCAAATAATAAGAATCATATAACTCACCAGAAACCCCATTAAGATTCCAAGATCTCCCTCATAGTCACTGCTATTAAGCCGCTTCACCAGTCTTTTATTTAAGTATTAAATTAAATGCACGAAACAATAAATTGTGTGTGTGTGTATGTATATGTATGGTAATTAGGACAAAGAAGCGATGTCGATTTGGCTACACCCACCCAGTCACATGACCACACAGTCACATGACCACACAGACATGCCCACTCAGCCAGTCATTAGAGCAGAGAGCCCCTTGCTAAAAAAAATCCACCCCTACTTCCCCCTCATTTCCTTGGCTTGTCAGGCTGGGATGGTTTTCCATTGGTGACTTGGCTATATCGTTGGCATTTGCACAACCGTATTGTTGGACGCAGATGATTGTGGGTTGTCCCTTGTGGACGCTTGCCGGTTCGCTGGAAGGCAGACCATGAATTGTTCAGGCTTCCCCTTTTCTGGCAGGTTTTCCCCAGAGGTCCTTGGGATGTGCGCCAGCACGGCCTTCGTGTGGATGGTGATTGAAGTTCTTGCCCTTCTCCTGGGTCTCTACCTTGCTACGGTCCAAAGTGATTTGGGCACGTTTGATCTTCTGGCTTACTGCGGCTACAAATACGTTGGGTGAGTTGGGAGGGACCTCCCTGCTTCACGGATGAGCCTCCATTTCCCAGAAGCCCCGACAAACCCAAGTTTCCTGAATTAGACTCGGGTTTCCAACCGGCAGCGAAATTCCTGATTTAATGGACTGATTAGGAAAGAGAGTCCGTTAAATCCCCAAAGTACCTCTCAGCGGCAAGATGTTGTTGTGCCAAGAACCTCAACAGGAGGAGGACATGAATATGGCAGAAATTAACTTGATTAAATTAAAAATTAAAATTAAGCACCCCTTAAGACAGTTACTGGATACTGTCCGTTATTTCAGAGGGATTTGTCCGTTATATCAGATGTCCGGTAAATAAAAATCTTTGCTGTAATTTAATATTGGAAGAACTGCTCGTTCTTTGCTCTTGGGTGTTAGATGTTAATTCCTGCCCAATTTGTTACGATGTGTTGATGGCACACAGAAATATATACAATCTTTTGTTTTTCCCCTCCAGGATGATCCTCACTGTGGTCGGGGGCTTGGTGTTTGGCCTCAATGGTTACTACATCAGTCTGGCGTGGGCCTCCTGTTCTCTTATGTATTTCATGGTGAGTATGGCCATGTTCAGGGCGATACAAATGACTTTTGATGACTTTAAGGCCCAGTCCCTCCCTCTCTCAGCCCAACCCACCTCACAGGGTTGTTGTGCAGGGGAAGGAGGAGGAGGAAGGAAGGAAAGAAGATTAGGTAGGTAGGTCACCTTGAGTTATTTAAAAATTTAAAAAAAGCAAAGTTAAAAACAAACTTTGGTGCATGGGAATTCCATGCTCAGAGCCAACCAGGCACTGAGAGATGTAGTTGAGGAACCAGGTGCTGTGTTGACCCGGGGCGTGGCACAAAGGCAACATAGTCACACAAGTAAGAAAAGTCCCTTTAATACCTCCAACTTTGCCCCCAATGTCCAGTTACCTTCGGCTGGACCAAAAAAAACCTCTCCCAGGAACAGTCTTTAAGTGGAGGAAATTCAGTCTGAAAACGAAGTACATATAAACTGTAAATAGAAATCCACACAAACCACACTGCAACAATTAACTGGACAGGGCGGGAGAAGGAATTGCAGACTTGAAAGGCCAACAAAACACACACAGTTGGGAAGATGTCAGGAACCCAGATAAGCCTCGACAAAAGATAACTCACGATTTGCTTCCAACAAGTTGCTGTGTGCAAACTCCCATTTTAAACACTGTGTTCCCAACTATGGCTAATGAAGGTAATCAGGGCCCTTTCCTCCCCTGTAAGCCATGCAACCCACGTTGCTCCCTTCTCCGTTCCTCCCTGCGTGCCATAGGATGAAGAGGCGGGGTGGGCCTGGGTCTTCCTCTGAATTCCCTCTCCCTTGTTCCACCTCTCCCCTGCTCTGCCCAGCCGGACTTTGCCCTTCCCCAGTTTCCTCCACAGCCAACGCTCCCTGTGTCAGCTGCTCGGCCTCCCCCTCCGAATCAGATTCCGACGGGCATGACAGGTGGTCATTTGAACGTGCTTCCCATGTCTGTCTGTGCCCTCCCAGGTTCGCTCTTTACGGATGAAGATCCTGACTTCCGTGGTGCAAGATGGACTGAGCCGGACCACCGGCCGGGCGCAGATGTACATCACACTAGGCGCCGCTGCCTTCCAGCCGTTAGTTTTGTACTGGTTGACGGCCCAGTTGGTGCATTAAACGGAGGAGATGAGACTTTGGGGGCGGCGCAATTCCTCCCTTTTTTTTTTTTTTTTTCCTGTTTTGGTTCACATCCCCTCCTCCCAAATTTCACCACTTCCCCTAGTTCTGTCTCTGCCCCTCCCCCCCCCCCAAATTCCAGTGTGGGAGGGGGTTCTCCACGGAGAAGGACAAGTGGGGATCTGTCCCCTTTTTGGAAGAATGAAGTGAAAGGCAGCGGGTCCATTCGCACTCGGGACTCCCTCCCAGGAGCAGCGGAGGCAGGCCAGCTGTCCGAGTTGACTGCTTGTCCACAACTCCGAAAATCTGTAGATTTGCGGTCTTACTGGTATCTTACTGGGTAGATTCGGGGTCCTACTGGTAGAGGCAGTTCTGCTGTTGGGGATTTTACTTGAGTTGGATGAATTTGGATCCTTCCTCGCGCAAAATTTACAGGTTTTCTATTCCTGTGGTGTATCTAGAACGGTGTTTCTTGGTTGCTTGGGGTGGACTTCCAACTCCCAGGTATTCCCCTGCCAACTATCGAAGATGGATGGACTTCAAGTCCCAGCATCCCCTGCCGGCTGAGGAATTCCGGGAGTCGTAGTCCACTGATCTTCGAAGCAGTTACGGTTGAGAAGCACCAATCTAGAATAAATCCAGTATTTTTCATCTTGGGTGCTTGAAGATGAGTGGACTTCAACTCCCAGCATTCCTTTGCCAGCTATTGAAGATGGATGGACTTCAAGTCCCAGCATCCCCTGCCGGCTGAGGAATTCCGGGAGTCGTAATCCACCCATCATCGAAGCGGCTTAAGGTTGAGAAGCATCGATCTAGAAAACGTCCAGTTATTTTTCAACCTTGGTTGCTTGTGAGATGGATGGGCTTCAACTCCCAGAATTCCATGCTGGCTGGGGAATTCTGGGATTTGAAGTCCAGCTACTTTCCAAACAGACCAGGATTAAGATGCACCGATCTATAAAAATCCAGTTTTTCTCCATCTTGGCTGCTTTGCAGGCGGATGGACTTCAACTCCCAGAATTGCCCAGCCAGCCTGCTTGAAGATGGCTGAACTCCCAAGTCCCGGCATCCCCTGCTGGCTGAGGAATTCTGGGAGTCGTAGTCCAACCATCTTCCATAATTGGAAAAGTCCCAGTCTAGAACAAATCCAGTTTGGTTCCGTGTTTCCGGGAAGCAACAAAGATGGATAGGTAGACGGGAGGGAAAAAAAATATTTTAAAATTTGAAGTGTTAAAAAAAAAAAAAAAGAGTTTTGAGTCTGACTCTCCTGTGAGAAAGAGGAAGAGAATCCGTTTTTGGTTTCCTTACAATCACTTCCGTGAGAGATGTTTGGTTTTCTTGCAAGCATGATAAAAAGTATAAAACTCTGCGACGGGCAGAACCAAATTTGTGAAGGTGTGTTCTGTATGTATTTTCTTTTTAAGATCATTTCCTCCGCAGTGGCTGAATTTTATTCCCCCCCAGCGTTCCCCAAACAGGATTCCAGTTTTTCCCACGTTTGATCACCCCGGGAAAGGATCTGAGTTCAGGTCATCCGTGATTTAAAACGGCCACAATTGAACTCCAGATTTCTGTTGTGGAAGCGAGACGTGCGTGAAGTGAGTTTGGACCCATGTTACAACCTTTCTTGCATGATGGGCTTAACGACCGCAGCGAAAAGGGGTGAAGTCGAGCGTGATTCATTGAACGACCGCAGTGCCTTGGCCACAACAGTGCCTTTCCCAACCACAGTCGTTAAGTTAAGGACTTCCTATAATCCTTTCGAAGGTTTGAGGAATACAGCTCTCTCCTCATCCCGTCCCCCTGGTGCCAGGATGATGGGATCTGTAGTCCAAAAGCAGCAGAAGGAAACTGGATAGGCACTTAATCAGAAATAGTACAGGTGTCCTGTGAGAGCGGGGGGATGGACTTGATGACCTCCAAGGCCCCTTCCAATTCTGTTAACTATTATAGGCCGAGATTATTAGTAGGCGGCTCATTGGCAGCAGAGGGCAGCAACCCTTACAAATTAAAAAATAAAGTAAAAATAAACCAAGCTGAATTGCAGATTTGAGACTTCACGGTATTTGTCTAAAGGGAGGAAGCCTTTTTCTTCGTGGACGTTAATTGTAATAAAATTTTCACAGAAAATTGAAAATTTAAGATTGCTCCCGCCACCTGCTCAAGCTCCAAAAAGAGGTAGAGGAAGAGGTGGCGGATAAAAGAAAAATTAATTTCATTTTTTGCGAGCTAGGTGGCAACCTCCACAGGCATTTTAACCAACATCTGCAAAAAAACACGGGGGGAATACAAAGGAAAGCCGGGTAAAAGAATAGAAATAATAGAATAGAAGAATAGAATAGAATAGAAAATAGGATAGGATAGAATAAAGAAAATAGAATATAAAATATAAAATGGATAGGATAGAAGAATAGAATAAATGAATAGAATAGAAAATAGAATATAAAATGAATAGATAAAAGAATATAGAAAATAGAATGTAAAATATGTAGAATAGATAAAAATAGAATATAGAAAATATAAAATACATAGAATAGATAAAAGAATTAGAAAATAGAATGTAAAATATGTAGAATAGATAAAATATAGAAAATATAAAATATATAGAATTGATAAAAGAATATAGAAAATAGAATGTAAAATATGTAGAATAGATAA